TCTTCTCCTCTTTTATTTGATCTCTTTAACCTTCTGCCTCCAGGCATTTCACTTTCGACTGATGATACATATTACTTATGTTTGTCAACGTCAGTAGCACACATCACAATATGAATGATCTATAAAGCTTTTTTTATTTTAAAAACATTATCGGTGAGAATAAAATTTATGGACGACCTTTGAGCGATGCCAGATTGACCTTAAGATTGTTCACCTAATAACTAGGACCAAATGGAGGTTATAAACCTGTGTGACGAATTAGAATTATGATTTCCAGTTGACGGTTGACGTTAAGAATTAGATTTAGGGTTTTCATCACGAAATGACATCAGCTATAAAGCCAAAACTTTATTTAGTCAAATGGATGAATGAGTTTCGCGCTAAAATTCGAGACGTTTTATCTTATACTTGATTGGTTCGTCCATAATTTATAGTCTCGTCATATTATCTCACCAAACAATGAACAAATACAGTAAATAATTGTATTTTTTAAAAATGTTAGGATGTAATATATTTGAAAAGAGTAATTTTGTAATTTATACGAATATTCGTCAATATTAGAACGAATAAGCAAAGATGGATATTGGCTAGCATTGGAATATAGGACGGGAGTTTTGTTCTATTTGAGACTCGTTAGTTGGATATACCTGCATCCCAGAGTTGATGTTCACTTTTGGACTCGAACTAAGTACTATTCCCTTCATATATCCTCGCATTATCCACTTAGCTATTAAGTCCTGATAGCTAATATCGAAGCCTCATACACAGTATACACATATGCCCATAAGAGACTAATCAGTTACAGTTCTAAACATCAATCGGAATATTCAAATAAACAATACTAAGTGAATTAGAACAAATAGCACCAAATAATGAATAATTTTTTTAATCCTAACAACTAATATCTTAATGAAATCAAATAAAGATATTCTTTTTCTTTCTTTTTTTGTATTTTTTTCCATTAACAATCTCAATGTTTTATTTCAATGATAGAGTTCAGCAAAACAAAATGAATAGTTATATAATTAACCATTTAGAACAGTAAATTATAATAGAATCAAAGTAATTACAGATGTTAATGAGGAAAACTATTTTAAATATTGTTTATTTATTATTGAATAATAAAGACTTTTATTATCATCATAACTAGTTAGATACTTATATAGATGTATGTTTCTTTTTCTGGTATTCATTTCAAATCCATTTTATAATATTCAATATTAACACCATTATTAACAATAATTATATTTAAGGTCATTATGACCTTTGAATAATCTTGTTTTATTTCAATCAGTATATTTAAATATGAATATAATCACTGTTTAATAATTTAAGACAAATGGGGTTGTTTGTGGTAATTATGACCTGGGTCAGTTATGAGGTAGTAACTCACTAATAACAATAGTGGATGTGTCGCCTAATTTCGTGGATTAGTTGAAGTTGGACTTTAACGCCGTTGGACGCCGACCAGCTCAGTGGTCTAGTGGTTAAGTGCTCGTGCGCGAGACCAATAGGTCGTGGGTTCGAATCTCGCGGAAGGCGGGTTCTTGGATGTGCAATGCTTAGGAGTCCCACAATAGAACGAAACGGCGGTCCAGTGCTTCAAGGTTTTCCATGGTGGTCTAACTTCAATTGACTCATGATTTCAACCAGTGAATATTTTAAACTAAATTTCGATAGAACAATGGGAAGACGGAATCGATGCATTCGATGCATGGACGCTATACATTTCGAACAATCTGGTCACACACATATACTTGTCAGGACATTTTTATATGAAAATTAATAAAGGTCAATTAAATGAAAGTTCAAGTAAAAAAGTAACAAAGAGGAGAGAAACAATTTTATATCGTATAGAAAGAATAAGAAATTGTCGCGTTATCCTAGGCCATAGAATGACTTGAATATCACCAACGTAAATTCAAGGGTACGACAAATGGTTTTTGTACATATAAGGGGGTTATAAATTTATGAATAGCCAAAGTTTCAATAAACTTGAGAATTCGTCCTTGACAATTTCTATACAACATTTTAAAAACTGTATTAATGTCAATTTTGTGCCTCGTTTTAATTATTTATTTCGCTATCGATGAACCTAGTTTTCTACCTCCCACGATTATTCTATCATTTTCATATAAAATGCCTTGACAACTATAAGTGTATGACCAAATTGTTCGAAATGTATAGCGCAACTACATCACATTTTTCATATTAACTTCATCTTCTCGTTATTCTATCGAAATTTATAAAAGGGATTTATTGTTTTAAACTAAATTGATAAAAAATGATAAGTGTAAAAACATTTAGTTCTATTGTATACATTTCCTCCCCCCCCCGCTTTAAACAATATGTTTATTATAACATTAAATCTAAGTATATTAGATACAATACTGATTATAACTAATTTTACTACAAAAAATGTATTTTTTTCGTTCAATGTTTTCTTTATTGATTTTAGTTACTACGTAATTTATTACTTAAATAATACTGAATTGGTTACATTCATTTAAATAATTATTCATCAATTGAATAGATAATAAAACGGAATGTTCATTTGAATTTCCGCCATTTTTATTATATAATGAGTAAATGATTAAAAAAATAATTATTGAGCTTAGTAATTTGACAATGTGTTATAATCGCGTTCTGTGTTCAATAATTAAATGGAATTAATCAAAATAATTTCCTTTTTTCGGTCCATTTAAAGAAAAATAATTAAAAAGTCATTAACTTATGAATTATGGCTTAGTTATTAAGTAATTTTAATCTGTTTATAGATCATAAATTTGCCCCCAAATGTCCTGGGATGGCCGGGAGTGGGGAGAGTCAGCTATCCCTCTGGAAATTCTCTCAAATGGCCAAGTTCATACATCCACTCCAAAGAAAGTCCTACTCACTACATTCTCGTAGTGGGAGTGTTGTTTACGAAATTGAGAGGACGAAAAGCGAATGTCCGGTGTTTAACAGGGTTGGTGGATACGGAGGATCTACATACGGAAGTTGCAAAGCCCTTATTCCAAGCCGATAGTGTACATGGTTTCCAGAATTCTAAGGAAACAATTGACGTATGAACCAATTGTTGGTCACTGTCTATCATGAGACTGCATCCCCCTACGTTACTCCATTGCTTTGTGGATTAGACTTTTATATCAAAGATTTGGGGAGTGGCCCTCTAAGAAAACCACGTGCTCCGGTTTAGACACCTGGACAGTATCACAGCCCTCACACAAATCGAATGATTTATGTAGCACATATCTATTTGTTCCCCTCTTTTACCAATATTTATATGTTTAAATAAATAAATAAGATCATAAATTTAATAATGATGCGAAATGAAAGGTAACTGTATAATAATTCTTCACCGTTGTATTATTCGCCTGGCAATCTGGTCTAAGCTTTTTCAAGAAAATATAATAAAACATCAAAATTATTGAATATAAATAGGTACATGGTTCTCCGGTTGATTGTATACTGGTTGGAATCCGCGAGATGATAGCAGCCGATGGTTAGAGACATTGAATGACATGGCTCAAAATCGTTTGCAATGGGGCAGTTGCCTCCACTCTTTGTGCTCTCCCAAATTCTAGTCTTCTAAGTTCTTCATGTTTTTTTTCTCTTTCCAAATTTATTTCACTGGATTATACTTCTTTAATAACATCAAACCCTAATGTTTCCGATTACTGTTTATACTCTTACTGACTCTACCATTATGGGATTTGAACCGATAACTGTATCTCTGTGCTAATGTGGTATGGCAACTCGAACTGATTTACGTACGTTCGAAGTTCTACTTTGCTACTGACTGATTGACTGACGACTTTTTCAAATAAAGTATTCATTATAAGCTCAAAAAATTAGTAGTTGCTATAGGAAACCAAGATTTGTACAACTCAGTGAAGAGTTTGATAAATGAGGTTTTATTATACATTAAAAATAAATCATATCGATAATTGAATTCACTGGTTTTTATGTTTTATTTATTCGGTTTAATGGTTAAATTTGAATGAATTAAACTGAGTAGCATTTGATATCAATTAATGGACACAATATACAATGTCACTCGATTATACTACTGTAACTAACAATTGTCGCCCAGTGCTTCCAGGTTTTTCATGGTGATCTAGCTTTAATCGACTCATGAATTCAACTATTTAATTACTATAATATACGCAAAAACCCCTTCTGATTATGATCATCATATGCTCACTAGTGACTGACTTCAAGAGGTGTTTCCTGGAGTTCTAGTGAGATGTGACCAGTGGAGTTATTACGGGTCTGTTGTGAGATAGTAAATCACTGAAGACAATGGTGGACAGTGGTTCAAATTCGTGAATTGGTTGAGGTTAAATGCCGGCACAGTGGTCCACAGGTTATGCGTTAGCGCACGAAATCGACAGGTCCTGGGTTCGAGATCATGGGTGCGCACTGCTGGGGAGTCCCATGCTAGGACGAAACGGCCGTTCAGTGATTCCAGGTTTTCCATGGTGATCTAGTTTTAATCGACCCATCGATTCAAGCATTAAAAATTACTACAATATCCGCAAACCCCCATTCTTATAATAAAACAAGTGGTTGAATAAATTTTTTTGGATGCAAAGCTTTGGCTTTTTGATCCGAATAGTAATTGCTTCAGTCGTCTACAGGATTCTCAGTCTGACGGATTTAGGCATACTGCTATTAACACGCTATATGATTGTGAAAGATTGCTCCATGTTGGCTGCCTATTCTGTCTGCATTAAATGGGCTAAAATGGAGTTGATAATAGTTTTAATTACACCATTGCTTAACTACACTGGGAGGTATTCACGAGCGCGAAAATACAAATTCCTAGAACATCTGCCAATATAACTTGCTCCACAGGAGTAGTTGAATTGATAGATACAGAAAGAGTGATCACAGAGTGATCACGGTATGTGTAGAAAACAATAATTGTAGTTTACTTCCATTAAATGTTCTTTGAATTGTTCTGTGTAATTTTATTATTATTATTTATTTTACAGTGCAGATGAAAGACTCAATGAAAGAAGACCATGTGATGCAAGGATTTTTTCTGATGGAAGTGTACTTTGGAATCCAATGGGTATATTTAAAAGTACATGTTCTGTTGATATTAAATATTTTCCATTTGATCGACAAAAATGTGTTCTGAAATTTGGACCGTGGAGCTATGACGGGTAAGCAATCTTTCTTAAGTACATAAGGTTAGATAATCATCAAAGCTTTATTTACTGAAAAAAAAATTAGATACGAATGTCAAAAATTTAGTGTGTTACCTTGACTATCATCATATTCTTAATGAATATAACAAATACAAATTATAATATTGCAAAATGATAAGAATTTGCCAAAATTCCCAAATTCTTATTTTCGTACAAATGAAATTTACTAATTTCCATTAAGTTGATAAGAAAACTAATGAATTAGATAAGTGAAGATATATAAGGACTACTAGTACATTTTGCTGATAAGTGTCAAATAGTGAAGACCACAGTTCATGGTCTCTCCAGTTGACTACCTTCACTTACTTTCTTACTTTTACCTATGCATGTTGCCCTCCCCCCCATGGAGGAGCATGGACAGCCCACCAGCACTCTCCATCCAACCTTGTCCTGAGCAATCCTTTGCAAATGTTTCTAGTTGATATTCTTCCTTTTCATATCTGCTTCCATTTCTCGACGTACTGTGTTATCCTGCCTTCTTCTTTTCCGCTACCCTTCAGGAATTCCAAGTTAGGGCTTGCCTCATAACTACCTCGAACCACTGAACAAATATCAAGTGCATTAAAATGCTCTTATGTCTGTATATTCTTATATTTCCCTTTTATAGATAAAAGTAATGATTGGAATATTGTTCATAATTTTGTTACAATAACTGATATCTTTTCTAGTAATGTGATTGTGCTTTTAAATAAAGTTAGGCGCAATGTTTTGAGGAAGTTAATTTACACGTAAGCTTTTTAAATAACGGTTAAACATTTTAGTGATACTATTTTAACGGTTCACATACAACAGAGTGTATATATTCATGCCTTTCAGTAAGAAATTTACGGATGATCTTAAACAAATAAAGCTGTGACCTCTGTTACGTAGATCTATTCATATTCTAAGTATTACATTCAATAGTCCTCTCATTAAAAAAATACAGGTATATCGTCATGATTAAAGGTACCGGGCAGTAGTCTTTTGATGAAGTTGTTTAGTCCTTAGTTTTAATTGGATCACATTGCTCTATGGTCTAAATGTTAAATATCTCAATACCATTACCCAGTTTTTTCTTATTTTGCATTCAGAAGGTAATCAATGCTGTGCTCTGAACCTCACTACATGGTAATAGTCCGCATAAATAAAGCACATTTTTCATCTTGTGGGAATTGACATCTGTCGTTGAGCGATTCGTTATCATTGACTATTCATGTAACAACTGGTGATCTTTAGAACTGAAATTTTTATATTATTGTATCGCCATATCTCATCATCTGATACTTTATGCTGACTGGATTCTCTTAGTCAAGAAAATCTTTACAGATTCCGTCAGCACAAAACTATCACCAGTATAGGGTTGCGGAGATTATTAAGTTTTCGATTGAGGTCATGAACCAAATGATGTTAGACAACCATTGAAAACCTCGAAGCACTGTATGGCCGTTGTATCCTACTGTAGGACTCCTCAACAGTGTGTACCCATGATCCCGCTCGCGGGATTCGCATATGGGACCTATCAGTCTTGTCTGTGAGCACTTAACCTTTAGATCACTGAGCCGGTATCCAACGGTGTTAATGTCTAACCTCAACCAATTCACGAACTTGAGCGACCATCTTTCATTGTACTGAGGTCGATACCTGATTATAATCAATAATATAGATCAAGGAAAACATTTTTATATCTCTTATGAGTGTTAATAAAATTTATTGTTAATTGTTTATTTTAGATTTCGTGTTAATATTTCATTTTATGATGGTGAAAGAAATTTTCGTCTACTTAATTATATTACTAATCCTGAATGGAATTTATTAAATTCAAGTGCTGTATTCACAGAAATCTCTTATCCTTGTTGTCCAGAAAAATATCCTGATATAACATTTCATGTATGGATTAAAAGAAAATCTGCATTTTATACATATATCTTAATAATACCAAGTATTTTATTATCATCGCTTACATCAGTAATTTTTTGGCTTCCACCACATTCACCGGCAAAAATTGTTTTAGGTAAGTGAAAACTTCTATACCGAACAGAATCATTTTATTTAAATAAACTAACTATTTGAAATTAGTTAACAGAATAATAACCTGAGTGTTTTATTTGTCAAGTTGGACAAAACACACTAGCGGGATTTTATTGCTTATTACTACGAGAATGTCATCATTTGCAAATATAATGATATACATTACTTACTTACTTACTTACTTACTTACTTACTCACTTAGTTAGTTAGTTATTTAGTTAGTTACTTACTCACTTACTTACTTACTTACTTACTTACTTACTTACTTACTTACTTACTTACTTACTTACTTACTTACTTACTTACTTACTTACTTACTTACTTACTTACTTACTTACTTACTTACTTACTTACTTACTTACTTACTTACTTACTTACTTACTTACTTACTTACTTACTTACTTACTTACTTACTTACTTACTTACTTACTTACTACTTACTTACTTACTTACTTACTTACTTACTTACTTACTTACTTACTTACTTACTTACTTACTACTTACTTACTTACTTACTTACTTACTTACTTACTTACTTACTACTTACTTACTTACTTACTTACTTACTTACTTACTTACTTACTTACTTACTTACTTACTTACTTACTTACTACTTACTTACTTACTTACTTACTTACTTACTTACTTACTTACTTACTTACTTACTTACTTACTTACTTACTTACTTACTTACTTACTTACTTACTTACTTACTTACTTACTTACTTACTTACTTACTTACTACTTACTTACTTACTTACTTACTTACTTACTTACTTACTTACTTACTTACTTACTTACTTACTTACTTACTTACTTACTTACTTACTTACTTACTTACTTACTTACTTACTTACTTACTTACTTACTTACTTACTTACTTACTTACTTACTTACTTACTTACTTACTTACTTACTTACTTACTTACTTACTTACTTACTTACTTACTTACTTACTTACTTACTTACTTACTTACTTACTTACTTACTTACTTACTTACTTACTTACTTACTTACTTACTTACTTACTTACTTACTTACTTACTTACTTACTTACTTACTTACTTACTTACTTACTTACTTACTTACTTACTTACTTACTTACTTACTTACTTACTTACTTACTTACTTACTTACTTACTTACTTACTTACTTACTTACTTACTTACTTACTTACTTACTTACTTACTTACTTACTTACTTACTTACTTACTTACTTACTTACTTACTTACTTACTTACTTACTTACTTACTTACTTACTTACTTACTTACTTACTTACTTACTTACTTACTTACTTACTTACTACTTACTTACTTACTTACTTACTTACTTACTTACTTACTTACTTACTTACTTACTTACTTACTTACTTACTTACTTACTTACTTACTTACTTACTTACTTACTTACTTACTTACTTACTTACTTACTTACTTACTTACTTACTTACTTACTTACTTACTTACTTACTTACTTACTTACTTACTTACTTACTTACTTACTTACCTTACTTACTTACTTACTTACTTACTTACTTACTTACTTACTTACTTACTTACTTACTTACTTACTTACTTACTTACTTACTTACTTACTTACTTACTTACTTACTTACTTACTTACTTACTTACTTACTTACTTACTTACTTACTTACTTACTTACTTACTTACTTACTTACTTACGCCTGTTACTCCTCGTGAAGGAGCATAGGCTGCTCACCAGCATTCTCCATCCAACCCTGTCCTGGGCAATCCTTTCTAGCTTCTTCCAGTTGCCATTGATCCTTTTCATATCTGCTTCTATTTCCTGACGTAATGTGTTTCCAACACAATAAATTTGTATTATACTATCATAGTTAAGCTAAAATCAACACTATAAATTACTGATTGTATAAATAGTAGAAGGTGAGACTATAATTTATGGACGACCTCTGAGTGACATCAAAGTGACTTTGAGAGTATCTACCTATTTAATAGGGCTAAATGAAGGGTATAATGCAGTCCGAAAAATAAAGACAATAATTTGCAGTTGATGGTAAGGATTAGGAATCAGATTTATGGTTTTCATCACGAACTGACATCAGCTAAAATGCCAAAACGCCATTTGAACAAATGGGTAAATGAATTTCGCGCAAAAATCCAAGACCTGTTATCCTAAATCTGAATGGTTCGTCCATAAATTATAGTCTTGCCATAGTAGAATAAAAATAATTCAAAAAATGTCTTGAAACCAAGTAACACAGTTATTTGTATGATAATTCTTTTTCTGATCTCTGTTGAAATACGATGTAAAAACTTTTGTCAGTGTTCCACTGTTAAAATTGAAAACTTATATCTAGTTATAGGTATCATTTCCATGGTTTGACTTGATAATTTCGAATACATTAAGTAATGGATAGATTGTTATAAATAAATTCATATATTTGTAATATCTCAATAAGTAGAGAAATTAGATTTTCTGACGTTTCGTGACTCAGTGTAACTCACTTGTTCAGAGAATAAATAACCAAATCAAAATTAATCCTAGTTTAAATAGCACAAAGGGACAACGCAAGAATATTATCTACGATCAATCAGACCTGTTTTTTTGCGTTGTTCCTTTGTACTATTGAGCTGTTTGGGTCATTACTGACATTCTGTAAGAACAAAATATTTAAACTGACAGATTACCGATAAGTAAAAAATGGCATAGGTATCATTACTAAGGTTTGACTTGATAATTTCGAATAAATTGAGTATTGGGTAGATTGTTTCCAAAAGTGGTTTAACATCAATTGGTCCATAATCGCTTTCAAAAACTTAATAATCTCCACAACCCCTATACTAGTAATTAACATGTGCTCACTAGTGACTAGCTTTGTGAGGGAATTCTCGGAGTTCTAGTGAAAAGCCGTGACCAGTGGAGCTAATCCATGTCGGGTAGAGACAAGTATCTACCTCAGTACAATGGAAGATGGTCGTGCAATTTCGCCGATTGGTTGATGTTAGACACTATCACCATTATATCTGATTGTTGGATTTCATTCTAATAAATCATAATAGTGTTTTATAGCCATTGAATCATTGATCTAAATCTTGTTATATGAATTATCGAACAAAAAAAAACAGTGTAATATCATTATTCTTTAAAAACAATTTTCCCGCATATGAACAAAAACTTTTTGATAAGGAATTAGGTTTTTCGTTTACGGAAATTGATATCAACTAGATATAACCATAATAAACATGATTTCTTAAATGTGTACAAATATCAGATATAAGTTACAAACAGAAAATTATTATCTTTATTCTATAGAACAAATTTTTCAGATACTCTAGATTTATGTTTTGAGCAATTGAATACGAGAATATGTTAGTGTCTTTTTTATCATTATTATTATAATTAAAACACAAATTTCAGCGAAGGGATCTCTTTTCAACGAATTTATTATCAAGCTGTACAATCGTATATATATGAAAATTTTGTTTGTTGTAAAAGTACTAATTCCGTGAGGAAATGTGGACACAGTTACGTAATACGAATAATAACAATAGATTTAGTGAATATAATAAGATGATTAAAATGATTAAAATGTTTTTGTTATAATAATTAAAGGTCATAGAGATGTAAAAAATAAAGTGATATGATGAGCGTTCATGAATAAAACAATGAGAATATAAGACATAAGTAAAGGGGAGAATGTAATAATAATAATAATAATAATAATAATAATAATAATTGGATAGTCAAAATACTTAAGGCCAAGGTAACGATAACAATAAGACGTACTTCTTTTGTAAGCATAGTTCTGGTTTAAGCTCCTGGATGGTAAGAGCTTCGGCTATTTTTAAAAGTTGGATGCGAAGAAATCTGGGTAGATTTGAATGAATCATATAAACAACCTTAAATTCATTTTTTGGATATGTGGAATGGTTACAGTCGATTAGGTGTTCAAGTATAGAACTCCTAACTGCTTTCCTTTCCCCCTTATAGAACCAAGCTGGAATATGTTCCCGTATCCGAGTTGAAAGCGAGCGCTGGCTACGGCCAATGTACCTTGCTCCACAAGAGCAGGTGAACTGGTAGATGCACATGGAGGCGACCAGACGCGGAAGCTTGTCTTTTATGGACACAGAAACTAAATTCCTACTCGTGAAGGTTATTCGTAATTTAGCTGCATCAAATGTTCTTCTAATAGTTGTTGTTAGACGATTTTTGATTACTTCTGATGTTCGATCACCTTTAAATTCCAGACTTATATAAAGGTTTTTCTTCGTAACGGAGCAACTAGGTTTCTTGTCACAACTACTTCTATTCATATTCTTTTCTATGAACCGTTCTGGGTAACCATTTTCCGTCAGGGTTTTCTTGAGGAATTCAAGTTCTTTGTTAATGCATTCCTTACTGCATATCTGATGTATTCGATAACATAAAGAGTGGATGAGGTTTCCCTTTCTAATTAACGGAACCCAGCTATAGAAGTTGATTAGCTGTCCATTCCATGTTTGTTTTCTAAAGATGGATCTTTTTAAAGAACCATTACTCCTTCTCATCAGACGTACATCGAGAAAAGGAATTGATAGGTCCCATTCCCTTTCTAACGTGAAGTCTATAGAAGGGTGGCACGAGTTAAAGGTGTGTAAAATATCCTCTAAATCAATATTATTGTCACAAACGATAAACGTGTCGTCCATATATCTGACGTATAGGTGGAATTGATTGATCATTGAGCTTAGTTGGTCGTTTTTTAGTTTTGCCATGAAACAATCTGCTAAAATCGGACCCAATGGAGACCCCATTGCGATCCCATCCTTCTGTCTATATACTTCATTATTGAAACTAAACTGGACATTAAAAGTACAGCGTAACAATAGTTCTTTCAAGTGTTCAGTCGGCAAACCTAGATCTATGTTGTTGGAATCAATATACTCACATATATAACATATCGTTTCGGTTAAAGGTACGCTAGTGAACACAGAGTAAACGTCAAGCGATAACACG